CCCGAGGCACCAGCCTTTAGCCAAGTAAGAACCCCTTACAGATAAGCTCAGTTGGGGAAATTAGGGGATCGTTTGACACGTTTTTAATGGACAAAACCCATAAGCCCGAACATGTAGCACAGCTGCACGGATGGAGGGCAGCTCCTTTTCAACTTGGGGTTCGTTTGAAAAGTCCTCGACGCTCATCGCCGGCTGTGAAAATTTGCACAGAGCTACACAGATGGGGCGGTTCTACCAGGGATCTCGCCGGACACCTCGCTTACTTGTTTGTGCGATCCTACACTGCGCGTTCCCTATTGCGCTGGACGGACGCACGGCAGCCAGTTCCTTTTCAAAACGGTGCCCTCGCCCGAACAGCAGGCCCAAAGGGTGCTGGCCTTTCACAGGGCTCTTCTGGAAGTGGAAACTGCGACGCCTCGATTGGAAGGTTGGCGGCGGCGGCAACGCGGTGGCGCGAGGGCGGGGGGGGGGGGTTCTAAGAAGGCAGGGGGTGTTCTCGGCAGCCCGCCCGTCGTCTAAGAAGCTTCCTGAGAAGCCTCCTGGGCCCTCTAAGAAGGCCCGTGCCTTCTAAGAAGTCTGTCCGCCTTCTCAGTAGGTCGGCCCCCTCGCGCCACCGCCTTTTGTGGCGTCGCCAAGACTCCCTCCTTCTCCACCTCATCCTCCTCATCAGCATCAACAACATCAGGTTCATCATCATAATCACCAGCAGCATAATCATCAACATCAACATCCTCCTCCTCCTCCTCCACATCATCATCATCAGCACCATCACCATCACCATCATCATCATCATCATCATCATCAGCATCATCATCATCAGCATCAACTTCATCATCATCATCATCATCATCATATTCTTCATCATCATCAGTTTCACCATCATCATCGTCCCCATTATCATCATCAGCAGCATCAACAACATCACCATCATCATTACCATCACCATCACCATCACCATCAGAGTCACAATCGCCATCATCATAATCATACTCCGCACTATCCTCATCACCATCATCATCATCATTACCCTCATCCTCATCCTCATCCGTATCATCATCATCATCCTCATCATAATCCTCATACTCACCACCATCACCATCATAACCATCATCATCACCATCAGCATCGCCATCATCAGCAGCATCATCAACATCAGCATCATCACCATCACCATCATCACCACCACCATCATCAGCTGCATCTTAATGTTCATCTCCATCCTCCTCAGCAGCAGCAGCATCAGCAGCAGCAGCCTCATCGGATTCGTCATCGTGCGCATCTTCATCCTCCTCTTCATCCTCACATCCGTCTCCATCATCATCGAGGACAGCTTCATCGTCAGCTTCGTCCACGTGGAGCAGGAGGAGGAGGAGGAGGAGGAGGAGATGGAGGAGGAGGAGGAGGAGGAGGAGATGTGAACATCATCCTCTTCATCCCCTCTCTCATCGTCAGCTTCGTCGTCGTCGTCGTCGTCGTCACCGTCGTCACCGTCGTCCCCGTCGTCCCCGATCCCGCCCTTCGCCCGCTCTTCTCGCGCCTGCCCGGGCAGGGACGGCCGCTCGGCCCTGGACTTCGCGAGGGCCGCCAAGGAGATCCAGGAGGAGGAGGAGGAGGAGGAGGAGGGAGGAGGAGGAGGAGGAGGAGGAGGAGGGAGGAGGAGGGGGAGGAGGGGAGGAGGAGGAGGAGAGGAGGAGGGAGGAGGAGGAGGAGGAGGAGGGAGGAGGGAGGAGAGGAGGAGGGAGGAGGGAGGAGGGAGGGAGGGAGGAGGAGGAGGAGGAGGAGGAGGAGGGAGGGGGGAGGGAGGAGGAGGAGGGAGGAGGAGGAGGAGGAGGAGGAGGAGGAGGAGGAGGAGGAGGAGGAGGGAGGAGGAGGAGGAGGAGGAGGAGGAGGAGAGGAGGAGGGGGGGAGGAGGAGGAGGGGGGAGAGGAGGAAAAAGGAGGAGGAGGGGGAGGCGGAGGCGTTGGCGGTCTGAGGTCCGAGGACACACACACACACACACACACACTTCGGCAGAGGCAATCCGCACGCGCGTCCTGGCGAGACCGGGGCAGGTCGGACGGCATGGGCTTGGCATCGTTTGGACGCTTGCACGTCGGCGAGGACCATTGAGGAGCATATTGAGTCGTTCTCGAAGAATCAACGCGTGAGGTCGAAAAATACAATGGAGATGGGCGTCCGAGTGATGGCAAATATGTGAATACATCCAGACTTCCCAAATGGTGTCGGAGCAGATGGGGTCGGAGGATCGCGCCGCATCGCCGATGCAGCTCGATGTGGAGCTCGATATTCTCCACGAGGACGTCACCGATGCGTCGGCGATGTATCGGCGATGCGGCGCGATCCTCCGACCCGATCTTCTCGCACCCCATGTAGGAGGCAGCTTATTCGGTCAGGAACTGTTTCGGGACGACCGACATGGGTACGGAAAGAATGTACAAAGACCGACAGCAGTTCTTCTTCATGTTGAACAGGATTCGTTGTCGGCGTCGCCGCGGACTGTGTCCATTTGAGACAGAAGGCCGCCTGCCAAACAGCGGCCGCTGTTGGCTCGGGACAACAGTTGCTGTTGGGCATTGTGCCCACTGTTTCGCGAGACAACAGCTGCACCAATACTGCTGCTCACTGGACCTCTCCCGGGGTGCGCTCTGACCGAACCTTCGAGGAGAACCCAGCTGCGGCGACGAAGGCTCTCCAGGACGAGCAGCGATACCAGTCTCGGACTGCTCCAGTTGGAGAGGGGAAGGAGGAGGAAGAGGGGCGTCCAATTGGCTCCGCGTGTCACGCCGCTGGTTCTGGTCCACCACGCCACGGCGCGACGTGTTGCGTGCAGCCAGCTGCCGGAGCTCGCGCGTGCGAACACCTCCGCCGCCACTCCCGGCTCAGAGGGGGCCCGCCTCGGCGGTCTTCCCTTCGGTAGCAAATCATGGGAGTATTGTGTACCCTCGTAGTTGTGTCCGCCTTTAGCGTCGACTGGCGTCTGAGGTAATCGATGGGATAGCGCTGACTCAGCGTCGATTTGGCGTCAATCGGCGTCGATCCGGAAGAGTCAGCAGAGTGGCACGGCAGGCTCCCTTGGTTCGCCACCGAAGGCCCTTCCCCCCCCCCCACGGCGACGGGGCATGAGCTGCCTGGCCGCCTCCGCCCGCGCCCCTCCTCGGCAGCCTCGCGCCGAGGCGGGGGTCGTGCCTCGGGGCCCCCCGCGCGCCCCCGGAGGGCGGCGCTGCCCGCGCGCGCGCGCCGCCGTCGGAGGCTCCCTCGTGCCCAGTGCGCTCCTGGCGGCCCTGGCCGCGCGCCCCGCCGCGAGGTCGGCGCGCGCCGCGGCGGCGCCCGGCCACCCCGCGGGCCGGCGCGCCGCGGGGGCGGCCGCGGCGGCCGGCGCGGGGCGGCCCGCGGGAGGCCCGTGCGCCGCACGGCGCGTGGCGGTCGTGGGAGGCACGCACGGCAACGAGGTCGGGGGCATCCACCTGGTGCGGTCGTTCCTGAGGAGCCCCCCCTTCGCGCAGTTCCCCTCCCTGGACGTGGACGCCTTCGTCTCGAACGAGAGGGCGGCCGAGCTCTGCCAGCGGTACGTCGACGTCGACCTGAACCGGTGCTTCTCGGCGGAGCTGCTCGGCGCGCCGGTGAGGGCAGGCTGCTACGAGTCGCGGCGCGCCGCCGAGATCAATGAGCGCATCGGCCCCAGATTCGACCCCTGCGCGGCAGACGTGTGCATCCCGAGGGGCAAGAGTCGGCGGCGCGCCGGGGGGGGGGGGGAGTGAGAAGGAGCAGGTCCTCTCGAGAGGCGGCGGGGCCTCTCAGGAGCCCTCCGGCCTTCCGAAAAGTGTTCGGCGTCTTCGGAGAAGGCTCAGGAAGCTTCTCAGAACGCCAGAGGCGTTCCGAGCCTCCTGAGAATCAGAGCGTGAATTACCTACCCCGCTTTCGCTTCCAGGCAAAACCAAGCCATACCACGCGCCTCCTCGTCAAGCGGCCTGACCAGTACAGGCCGCAGTTTGGCATCGCTTGGTATCTCTCTTGGAAGCGAGGGTGGTCAAGAGCGAGGTAGGTTTGTTTTCCCCCTAGTTCGGATGCAACTCCTGGGAGGTTAAATTCTGACTTTGCCCTGGTCCGAAAACCGGCTTAATCCGGCTTAATCCCGCTTAATCCGGCTTAATCCCGCTCAATCCCGCTTAATCCGGCTTAATCCTGCTTAGTCTGAGGCCCATTCCGGCGTAACAGTCCCCCAATGGGACTTAATCCTCTTTAATTTCTCCGACGAAAACCTCCCAGTAGTTGCCTCCTAACCCTAGAGAAAGCCCGCCCCTTCTCGCTTCCCCCCGGGCTCGCCGCCGAGGAGGCGGCACAGGCAGAACTGGTCGGAGCTCCGCGCGGAGTTCGTGGATCGGCGCTGGACCGCGCGGCGCCGAAGGCGCCGCCGGGAGGTTCCAGCGCCGATACTATCGGGCCGGGCGAAAGGGGGGGTTTGGGAAAGGGGGGGTTACGGTAGGTTCGCGTCGTGTCGACTCGCGGCGACCCCAGCGCGGGCGTTCAAGGTTGAACGCCGCCGGCGACCCAGAATCAACCTATATGGAACGATCGAGCGATCGACGGTCGCCGATCGTTCGAGGTTGAACGATCCTCGCGGCGTCAGAAACCAACGCTGGGGTCGTCACGACACGGACCTGCAGTACGAAATTTGCTGCATGTAGCTGGTTTCGGCCTCACCGAGGGGCCCATTCCTCGATACATGGCCGCTTCCGGCGCCGGGAGGCGCCGGGAAAATCAGCTGCGTGAGCTGATTCTCAAGCCCCCCCTTTGCTGTCCCCCCCTTTCGCCCGACCCAAGATACGAGAAGTCCGCACGGAGCTCCGAAGGTTCGTAGCTCATTCGCTTGTCGGCCTCCCATGCTTCTCAGGAGGGGAAACAACACACAGACACCATGCATCGTCGATCCCCCGAAAATATTGGTTAATATGGGAAGTGGGGGGGAAGACGAAAACCCCAGAAAACATTGGAAAACATTGGAAAATATTTGTATCTGTGTGTGTGTGCGTTTATCTATGTGTCCTGGGGCCCCTGTGTAGCACCGGCGATGCATCGGCGACGCGGCGCGCTGCTCCGACCCCATCTCTGGGAGGCCCCCGTGCTTGCCCCTCGCGCGTCGACCTGCACCAGACGACCAGCAGTTTCGGGGACGGCATCATCCTCGCGGGCCTCGCCGCAGACTCCCTGCTGTGGAGGCTGCAGTCAAGTCGGGCGTGCCCCCCTACAGGGGCATCTTCGACGAAACATAGAAAATACCCCCCAACTACCCCAGAGAGGCCAAAACATAGTCCGAAAATCGTCCCCAGACTATTCTTGGACTATTGTTTGATTATGTTCGGGGTATTTTTTATCTTTGTCGAAAATCCTCCTGTAGGGGGACAGGCCCGACTTAAGGCTGCAGCTCTGCGCCAGCCTCGTGGCCTCGCGGACCGGGTCGCGCGGCGAGCCGCCGGCGCGGGTCGTCGTGGAGGCTCGGCCAGACATGAGAGCGACCCGTCGCCGGAGTGGCCTCTGGTGCGGGCCGAACGGGGTCCCCCGATCGCCGAACGCGCTGCGGTGGCAGCGTCTTGCGCGCTTGTGTGTGTGTGTTGGTCCCCCCGCGGCCCCCGAAACGCCGCGCACCAAAGGTCACTCTTACTCCAGATTTCGTAATAAAAGGGAGGGGATCTCAACCCTCCCAGACGAGAAGTTTTGGACCCTCCCAGACCATCCATGAAAGGGCGGCCCTTTGCCCAGACCCCCCCGAACACTCCAAGACAGCTCAAATCAGACCCCCCAAATGTGACCCCCCCGACTTTATTATGGAATCCGGAGTACCCAGGGCCACTCTTGCGTGTAGTCGAGAGGCGGACTTCCTCGACGGCCCAGACCGCTCGTGGCGGCGGCCTTCGGGCGGCGTCGACCTCGCCGCCAGGCCTCGAAGCACCCGGCATCGCTCGGGCGTGTGCATTTGTTTTTCTCGGCGAGGACCATCGAGGAGCATTCTTGATCATTTGGCGAAAAAGCCACGCACGAAACCGAAAAAGGCGCAGGGAATGGACGTCCGAGCGATGGCGAGAGCAGGAAAAGACTGAATAAACATAAACATTCGGAACTCCTGGCGGATGTCTTCGATGGGCCCCCGTGGCGCGCTCCGCGCGCCAGGGAGGGAGGTCCAGCGCGAGATCCGCGGGTACCTTCGAAAGTTTATCTTTACGCAGTTGTCTTTTCTAAGGCCGTTCCTGCCGATGGTGGCCAAGGCTCAGAGGAGGAGGAGGAGGAGGAGGAGGAGGAGGAGGAGCAGGATGAGGAGGAAGAAAGTATACCAACGCCGCTGCTCGTCCTGGAGAGCCCGTGTCACTGATCCTCGAAGTTCTAGCCAGAGCGGAGGACATCTTCGGGACACTTTTCGGGCCAGAGGCGATGCCGAGACGATGGCCTCACTCATAAGTGAAAAAGCTAGTCGAGCGGCAACGTTGTTGTTCAGGGGGGTGGTTTGCGACGCCGAAGCGAAAGCGCTTCCCCTTAGTGAAAAACGACCACATATTGAGCGGGAGCGCCAGTTTGGTTGGAGAGTTATGGTCAGGAACTTTGGCCCAGCGTGTCGCTTCGCCCGTCCTGGCCCACCGCGTTTCAGCGCGACACGCTCTCCACTCCCCGGCCCCCGAGCGTCAACGTTCGGAGCCTCTCCCCGCATCCCGCCCCGCGGAGCAGGCGGAGCGGAGCGACACGCCATCCAGTCGCAGGGCACAGCGTGTCTCTTTGGGCCGCCCTCCGCGACACGCCGAGCAGCAGCTCCCGACGGCAGCGCTCGGCGGCGGGCGAGGGCGCGCGCCTGACCCCCCCCGAAGGCGGACGTGACGTTCGAGGTGGGCCCCGTGGCCCACGGCACGCTGCGCGCCGAGGCCACGGCGCGGGCGCGCAGCCTGGTACTGGACACGCTGGGGTGGCTGGACCGGCTGAACCGCGGCCTGCTCCGACCCGAGGAGCGGAGGAGGAAAGGGTATACCAATGCCCTTCTACCCCCTCGCCCGTGTTCCCCTTTTTGGGGGCCTCCTCGACCTCTGTCGCCGCCACCGCTGGATTCGCCTCGAAATTCTTGTCAGAACACACCCCGGGAGAGGTCCGGGGAGTAGAGGTATCGGTGCCTTTTGGTTTCCCCAGAGGAGGCGGCCGCGAAGGCTCGGGGGCCCCCAAACTCGACCAGGACCTTTCGCCGGAGTGGCCTCTGGTGCCTGCCGAACGGGGTCCCCCGATCGCCGAACGCGCTGCGGTGGTAGCGTCTTGCGCGCTTGTGTGTGTTGGTCCCCCCGCGGCCCCCGAAACGCCGCGCACCAAAGGTCACTCTGACCCAGGGTCACTCTTGCGTGTAGCCGACAAACGGTGTGGTGACCACGCCGCGTGGTGAGTCAGTGGGGGTTCGGGGTCACCGCACGGGTTTGAACCTCGGGCTTCGCGGAGGACGCCTCGGGCGAGCGGGGCCTCCGAGGTCCCAAGAGACTGTGCGGTGGCGGGCCGCGCGGTGAGGTCGTTGGGGGTTCCGAGGTCACCACGTGGTCCGTCACCGCACGATTTTGGGGGCCCCGGAGAAGGCTCTGGTGGTGTACGTGCAGGGCCGGTCGGTGGACTACCCGCGCTTCGAGGACGGGTCCATCTCCGCGTGCATCGCGCCGTCGCTGCAGGACCGCGACTTCGAGCTGCTGCGCCCGGGGGACCCGGTCTTTCAGGACCTGGTGACGGGGGATTTGATCCTGTGGGAGGGCGAGGAGTGTTACCCAATATTCATCAACGAGGCCAGCTACACCGAGAAGCGCATTGCGTTTACCGTGACCTACCGGCACGTGTTGCGTCTGCCGGCGTTCGCTCGAGATGCCGCCACTGGCCTGTACCACATGGACAGGAAGGACTTTGTGGACATCGATCGGGCTGTGTGATTCGTGTCAGAGCGGGGGTTCCGTGACCTCAGCAGGGCGTCATCGATGATTGACCTCAGTCGTGTCTGGTTTCGCTGAGCCGCCACGTGAGCGACAGAAGAAAGCGGGGCGTCGACCGCGCCGACAGTCGCGCGCAAGCTTCCCCCGTGAGGCCGAGTGTGAGCGCCCTCGTTGTCTGCGTCTGCGCGCAAGCTTCCCGCGTGAGGCGCGCGAAAGCGCCCTCGTCTCCACGCGGTGGCCCACGTAAGCCGCGGCGTAAGTTCGCTACGTCTTCTTGCGATAGGCCCGTTTCTTCTCGTCGCTCGCGTGGGTTTCTGTCTGTGGCGTCTCGCACGGCTGTGAAGCAGAGCGGCGGCCACGATTCGGCGTGGCAGGAAGGAAGCAGGCCGTCTCGGACCCTGTGGTGCGAAAGACGATGTGAGCACAACGGAGGCGCGACCTGTCCAGAGGCATCCCTCCCGCGTTCGAGGAGCAGAAGACTGCATCCGCATACTTTCTCTGAGCTCCACGTGGGTTGCTTGGATCGGCGCTGGTCCGCTCTGGACGTGCCTCCCGCGCCGCCACCGGCGCGCTCCGCGCGCCAGGCATGGGGGCCGGCGTCGACCCAAGCAGCCCCCCCGGACCTCCGCGAGATCATGCTGCGTGCCGTTGTGTGCTCCGGCGCCTTCTGGCCGAGCCCCTGCGGCCGTGCTCCCGCGCCTGCCGCGGCGCTCCTCGAGCTGGCGGTCCCGAAGACGCTGGGCCGTGAAGGCCGGGGGCGAGCTCGGCCGGCTCCGCGGCGCGCAGGGCGGGCGGGCAGGGCGAGGAGCGCCGCGCCCCGAGAAGGCCCCGCCGCCCAGTCCGCAGGGCTCGCTCCGGTGCCTCCGGCTCCTCCGATGCGGTGCGGTCTCGATGGCTTCCGATCCGATGCGGCTTCGGACTCCGATGTGGATCCCGACTTCTCCATGAGGGCCGACTGGCCTGGGCATGAGCTGGTCTCGCCGGCGCTGGTTTCGCCCCGCTGGCTTCGCCGACGGCTGATTTCGCAGGCGCTGGTTTCGCCCCGCTGGTTTCGCCCCGCTGGTTTCGCCGGCGGCTCGTTTCGCCGGCGCTGGTTTCGCCGGCGTTGGTTTCGCCGACGCCGTCGTCGCCGCGGGCGGGTCGGGTCGGGCGGGCGGGACATTAAAATATGGGGCACGCTCCACCGAGCACGCGCGAACCCTAACGGGCGAATCGGGTCGGGCGGACGTGGCGGACCCTAGCGGGCGGGACGGGTCGGGTCGGGCAAGCGGACCACAATGGGCGGGTCGGGTCGGGCGAGGGGGACATTAAAGTGTGGGGCACGCTGGACCGAGCACGCGCGAGCCCTAACGGGCGGGTCGGGTCGTTCGGACCTAAGCGGGTCGGGTCGGGTCGGGCGGGCGGACCCTAACGGGCGGGTCGGGTCGGGCGGGCGGAACATTAAGGTGTGGGGAGCGCTCGACCGAGCACGCGCGAACCCTAACGGGCGGGTCGGGTCGGGCAAGCGGACCCTAGCGGGCGGGTCGGGTCGGGCGGGCTGACGGGCGGGTCATTCAAGTGTGGAGCACGCTCCACCGAGCACGCGCGAACCCTAACGGGCGGGTCGGGTCGGGCGGGCGGACCCTAGCGGGTCGGGTCGGGTCGGGCGGGCGGGCCCTAACGGGCGGGTCGGGTCGGGCGGGCGGACCCTAGCGGGCGGGACGGGTCGGGTCGGGCGGGCGGACCTTGACGGGCGGGTCGGGTCGGGCGGGCGGGGCATTAAATTGTGGGGCGCGCTCGACCGAGCACGCGCGAACCATAACGGGCGGGTCGGGTCGGGCGGGCGGACCCAGAGGGCGGGTCGGGTCGGGCTGGTGTCGCCGACGGCAGGTGGTTTCGCCGACGGAGCTGGTTTCGCCGACGGAGCTAGTTTTGCCGGGCGGCGAAACCAGCCGGGCGAAACCGGCCCTCCGGCGAAGGATATTTTGCCGGGCATGTGTTCTCAGCGGGAAGGAGCAGACTGGAGCAGCCATCCGAAAACAAGCACGCACGAAGCCGAGGAGTGCACGGGGGATGGGCGTCCGAGCGATGGCGAAGCACCCTGCCACGTCGATTGGCCAATGCGTGTTCCGTGCCGTCGCTGCTGGTCCTCCTCCTCCTCCTCCTCCTCCTCCTCCTGCTCGGGAGGGCGTCGGGGCCGCAGCTGCTGCGGGTCTGCGCCCGCCGGGGCTGGCCCCGGGCCGTGGTCGGCAGGGCCCGGCCCGCTCGGGTCGGAGTCGGGCGACGTGTCGCGGGCCGTCTTCGTTTCGATGTCGTGCTGCAGCAGAGGCGGAGCGAAGGCAGGGCCACGGAAGGCGAAAGCAGATCAGAAACGAAGCACCTTGCGGAAAGGGGGGCTCTTCGATAGCAAATCATGGGAGCCCTGCAGAGCTCCGCCTTTCGAGCGCCCTAGCGTCGATTAGCGTCGATTAGCGTCTGGTGGTCGATGAGATAGCGCCGACTTAGCGTTGAGTAGCGTCGAGTCCGTCGGCTGAGCATCGATTAGCGTCGACCTGCGCCGACTCGCAAGAGCCCACAAGATGGTATGAGAGGCTCCCATGATTGGTGGTTCAAAGATGGGGTCCTGAAGGATGGGGACCCGAGGATAGAAAGGGACCCAAGGATCTCACGTTGGTTGAGGCACCTCGTCCTTAGGACCCCATCCACCTTTGAACCACCGACATCGCCGGTGACCGCCGATCTAGCGCCGACCAGCGTCGACGTGCGCCGATTCGCAAGAGCCGGCAGGATGGTACGGGAGGAGGAGGAGGAGGAGGAGGAGCGGAGGAGGAGAGGAGGAGGAGGAGGAGGAGTGAAGGAGGTGAGACGGAGGGGGAGGTGGAGGGGGAGGGGAGTGGGAGGGGGGGAGGGGGAGGAGGAGGAGGAGGAGGGAGGAGGAGGAGGAGGAAGGAGGAGGAGGAGGAGGAGGAGGAGGAGGAGGGTAGGAGGAGGAGGAGACCCGCGAGTTCCCGCCACCCGAAAGGGCTCTGCTCTCCCAAGAGAGGGGCCTGGCCCCATCTGCCAGAGGCCCTGCTGCACCCCTCCCAGAGAGGTCCCGCCCTCCCTCCTCTCCCCGTCCTCCTCCTCCTCTCCTCCTCCCTACTCCTCCCTCCTCCTCCTCCTCATACTCCCTCCTCCTCTCCTCCTCTCCTCCTCCTCCTCCTCCTCTCCTCCTCCTCCTCCCTCTCCTCCTCCTCCTCCTCCTCCTCCTCCTCGTCCTCCCCCGAAGCCATTTTGGCTCAAGACGGCTGCCTCTCGCCGCGCGGGCCCCCAGAGGCCCTGGCGACCGACTGCCCCTTCGTGTACCCGGTGGCCCTCGAGCTGCACCCATCGGTCGTTGAAGCTGGGTATTTTTTGGGGATTCCCAGGTTCCAATCTGCTGAGCGCTCGAGCGGCTCCACGGTTTCCGTCCTCCTTTGGGGGGCGGGCGGAATCCAATCTGCTTTCAACGCCTTCCTACTTCATCTTTCTACCTGCTTCTTCCGACCGATGGGAATCTCCACACAGAGCGTTCCGAAGAGGCGCTTTGCCTTCGAGGATCGGAGGACTTGCCATCTCCTCCTCGGCGGAGGGGCGGCGGACGCTGGCGGAAGGAAAACGAGGCCGCCTCCGCCGGCGGGAGGCTGGCGGGAGGCTGGCGGAGGTAGAAGATGCGCCCCCACGGCATGGAAACGTGTTTCGGGGGTGGACAGACCTCCTACCCTGACGCATCGATTAGTGAATTGACCGTTTTCGGCTCGCGAGAGGGCGTCGCGGCCGTCATCTTTGCGGGTCCAGGTCCGTCGGTTTCGGTCCCAGGCCGTTGTCACTAAGGGGAGGTCTACTAAAGGGAGGTTTGTCCACCGCCGAGTGTTTGGGTTTCAGAGTTTCCGAAACCGCCCACATGTGTCGCCGCGCTGACTTTTTCTCTCTCTGCTCCTCGCCCTCCTCCGCGGGTGCAGGCTTCCCAGCTTCGCTCGGCGCGGAACGGCTGTTGCTCAGCACGGCGCCTCCAGGGATGTGGGAGCTGCCCGCCTGGCCCCCGACGAGGCGAGGACTTCCTCGAGCACGAAGCGTTTCTGCTGCTCGTCGTTGCAGTCCCCCTGTCGTCGCCCCCTGAGGCTCGGCCGTCCCCCGCCTGGAAGCAGGCCTGCCCGGCAGACTGTTCTGCGCATGCCTCCGCGCGGGGGCTCCACTCCTGCCACGGTGCAGGGGGGGGAACGGGCCACGGCGGTTGCAGTGGCACTCTGCGCAGGTGGCGCTTCCGCGCCTCTCCGGGCGCGCAGCGCCTGGCGCCACGGGCTCTCGCCCGCGGCTGTGCCAGACGCTTTTCGCGGCGATGCTCGGGCTGCCGCGCTGGGCCACCCGCAGCTTCGGCATCCCAGTCAGACGGCCGTGAAGAGATCACGCGCCACCGACGCTGATGGAGCTCAAGCTCCAGCACCTCCCTTCCGCCAGCGGCGGCGCACCTGAGTGTGTGACGGCAGGCCGCCACACAGTTCGACACCATGTTCAGGTCGTTCTTTGCACGAGTTTGCTTGTTGCAGGTCGGCTTGTGCGGGGTTCCGG